TTCTTAGGGTTTGAGAGAATTTCTTCTTATTTTAAAGCTTTGGTAAGGATGTCTGCAATCTAAGATTTTGTTGGAGTGTAGATAAGGTGAACAATGTTCTTCTCAATCTTTTCTGTGATGAAGTGTCGATCTATTTCAATGTGCTTTATCCTGTCATGATAAACTGGATTCTTTGCTATGCTTATGGCTGCTTGATTATCACAGTGCATTTGGATAGGTGTCAATGATTCTATGCCAAGTTCTTTAAGTAATCTTTGTATCCACATCCCTTCACAGATTTCAAGAGCTAAAGCTCTCAACTCAGATTCTGCACTGCTTCTAGATACCACATGTTGTTTCTTACTTCTCTAAGTTACTAGATTTCCCCAAACATAGGAGTAGTATCCAGAAGTAGATCTCCTATCTATAATGTTTTCTGTCTGCATTAGCGAAATGCGTGAAATACAAATGGCTAAGATTAAAAGAGGTGTGTTGAAAAACTATAATTGAATACATTAAATTACTATTCTTGTATATCTTTCTTCATCCCAACTCAAATAACATCCCTCTCACTTAAAAGAAGAAACCTACTTCCCATATTCTCCATATGCTTTATAAATCACTGATTTTTGCTTCCAAACTATAATTCATCTTACAAATCCTTCGGTCACCATCAAAGCCCAAAATATAAAAAACATCCTCTCAATAATGAAAGCTCTTAATTTTTAACTTATAATAAAGAAGGCTAAGGGATAATTATTTATGGATTTGTGGGAAATAAATGGTTCTTAGGGTTTGAGAGAATTTCTTCTCTTTGTAAATCTGTCAAACCATGCCCAAGGGGATTGCTTTAGTCCATATAGTGATTTTTTCAGTCTGCATACTCTGTTAACGTTGGAGGATGTTTTTAATTCTAGAGGAATCTCCATGTATACTTCTTCTTCCAAGTCTCCATCAAGGAAAGAATTTTTGATATCTAGTTGATGTAATGGCCAATCTTGGTTAGCTGTTAGGAAAAAAAGCACTCTGATTGTATTAAGTTTGACAATGATTCTATGCCAAGTTCTTTAAGTAATCTTTGTATCCACATCCCTTCACAGATTTCAAGAGCTAAAGCTCTCAACTCAGATTCTGCACTGCTTCTAGATACCACATGTTGTTTCTTACTTCTCGAAGTTACTAAATTTCCCCAAACATAGGAGCAGTATCCAGAAGTAGATCTCATATCTATAATGTTTTCTACCCAGTCTGCATCTGTGTAGATTTTAATATTTTTGTTGTTACATTTCTTGTATAAAAGGCCTCCCTGTACACTGTCAATGGCTGAAACAAATGCATGATAGGTTGGTGATAACCCTTCATATGAAACAAATTTGCTAATGGGATGACTTGTGCATGATCTAACACCCTTTCTCAAAGCAATTGGAATATTTAAATCATCAATAACAGAGGCAGTATTCTCACAGTCAGAAGTTTCCATACCCAAGTATATTGGAGCAGAATCTGGACTTGGATCTAAATCTTGGTCATGTGCAAGAGGTATTATGTGCTTTATCTCCTTTCCAAGTTTTTTTCTTCTTGAATAGGTAAGAAGCTCATGATTTTTGATCTGTTTTGGTGTAGGATGAATCTGATCAGGAGATTGGACTAAGGCTGGATGTCTTGGGACTGATTGGATCGAGGCTAGAGGTGGTGTTGGGACTGATTGGATCGAGGCTGGATGACTCAAATCACTTTGGACAAAACTCTGTTAGTTATCTCCTAAGTTAATTACATGATCAGATTGTATATCCCAATTCTAATATTCTCTCATGGTTGCTCCCTGAAGATCAGACTTAGGATAATATGTTTGATGTTCAAAAAATATGACATCCATATAAGTATAAACCTTTTTTAGAATAGAAGAGTAACATTTATAACCCTTTTAGTGTGGAGAGCATCCTATAAAAATGCACTTGAAAGAGGTAGGGTCTAATTTTCCTCTATGGTGTATATAAACAAACACTAAGCAGCCAAATACTTTAGGGTCTAAGAAATAGAGTAGTTTGGTATGTGGAAAGACTTGTAGAAGGACTTGGCTGGGAGTTCTGAAGTTTAGAACTCTAGAAGGCATTCTTTTGATGAGATAGGTTGCTGTGAATATAGCTTCTCCCCAGAATTGTTTTGGCACATGAGTAGAGAGCATAAAGGATCTAGCAACTTCCAACAAATGTCTATTCTTTCTTTCAGCCACTCCATTTTGTTGTGGAGTGTTAACACAAAAGCTTATATGGATAATGTCTTGATTTAGACAATAAGTATTAAGGCTAGAATTGAAATATTCTTTGGCTTTATCAGTTTTTAGGATTTGGATTTTAGTATGGAATTAGGTTTGTATCATGGTATGGAAGTTTTGGAAAATCTGGCCAACTTCAAATTTTTCTTTTATAAAGAATAACCAAGTCAATCTAGTGTGATCATCAACAAAGGAGACAAACCACCGAGTTCCAGTTATATTGTGCACTTGTGAGGGGCCCCATACATCACTATGAATCATTGTAAATGGATGTGATGGTTTATATGAAATGGTGGGATAACTATTGCGAATATGTTTAGAGAGTTGACATATTTCACATTTGAAGGATTATGAGCTTTTATTGGAAAAGAAGGATGAAAACAGCCTTTCAAGGTACATGAAATTTGGATGATCAAGACGATAGTGCCATAACAAAACTTCACCATCTTTATTGACATGAAAATTTAAAGCTAACTGACCCTTGGATGATACATAGCTTCTGTTTTGAGTTTGCCTTCTTAGAGGAATCTCACTTTTGAGTAGATAGAGCCCAAAACATATCTTAGCACTGTCAATCTTCTTCCCCATATCCAAATCCTGAAATATACACAAATGAGGAAAGAATTTAACAACACAATTTAGGTCACGAGTCAATTTGCTAATTGAGAGTAGGTTGCAATCTAGGTTAGGAACATGGAGAATAGAGTTTAGGATCATGTCCCTTGAGAGTCTGCTTAATCTTATTCCCTTAACTTGGGAGAAAGACCCATCAGCTATATGAACTGTAGAATTATTAGTGCACTGATTGTATTCATTAAGAAGAGTAGCATCTCCTGTCATATGGTCTGATGCTCCAGAGTCGATGATCCAAGGGCTCGAGTGTTTCTTATTAACAGTAAAGGCTATTGAAAATTTATCTTTTTGTGCTAACAGTCCAAATTTAGGACCAGAGGCTGACTCACTTGGTTGAGACAGTGAATTCTGACTGAAGAGTTTTTGTAAGATCTCAAGTTGTTCTTTGCTGAAAGGACTTGTTTCAGTTGGTAGAATGGTGTTCTTATCTCGGTTGTTATCTGAGGTAACATTGTTGGCACGTCTGTCTTTGTCATTTATTGATTTTGATGGTTTCCAATCAGCAGGTTTGCCATGAATCTTCCAACAATTTTCCTTAACATGTCCCGGTTTGTTGCAATGATCACACCAGGGTCTTCCTTTCCTCTATCGATTATCATAGTTGCTGTTTGAATGGCCTCTAGCAGCAAGGGCAGATCCTTCCATTATGTGAGCTGAGTTGTGAGGTCCCATCATTACTTTCTTTCTACTTTCTTCATGTCTAACCTCAGAGAATGCTTCTCTGAGATTTGGAAGAGGTTTGGTTCCTATTATTCTTCCTCTGACTTTATCAAGGTTCTTGTTGAGCCCAAGAAAAAATTTGAAAGTTCTTTTTTGCTGAACAATTCTTCTATATAAAACTATGCCTTTAGGGCAATTCCAACTATGAATTTCAAACATATCTAGGTGCTACCAATGACGATAAAGAGTGTTTGAAGTATTGAGTAATAGAAAGTTCTCCTTGGCGTAGATCATGCATCACTCCTCAATCTCAAATAGTTCTGATGTATTTTCAGAGAACTTGAGTAGGTTTCTCTTATTGCTTCCCAAATTTCCTTTACTATTTCATATAGGAGAAAATTTTCTCTAATATCATTGATCATTGAATTGATTAGCCATGACATTACCATATGATTTTCAGTCTTCCATGTTCAGAACATAAAATTATTATTTTCTGGTATGATGATATCCCATATAAGGTAGTCATCTCTACCCTTTCCATAAATAAACATCATAACTAATGATGACCATTGAAGATAATTATATCCATTAAGTTTATATCTTGTGATTTGATGCTAATGATGACCATTGAAGATAATTATATCTATTAAGTTTATGTCTTGTGATTTGCTGTGAGGATGTGCCTTCAATGCCTCCTGAAAGGCTACCATGAGAGGCTATTCCTGGCTGTGAAGTCACCTTAGAGAGAAAGCTTTGTCCTGCTACTGCTATGCTTTATAGAAGCAAATTAAGGTTCAAGAGTAGGCTTTGATACCATGAAGAATTTTGAGAGAAGTATTTCTCTTTTCTTAACATTACCAGCAATATATTTGTACAATAAATAAGAAAGAGAAGCTAACCTACTAACCCTCGAAACAAGAAAAAAATACTAGATAATAAAGTATCCTACACTAAACTAGAAAACAATAATCTAAAGAATCTGGATAGTTAATACCAAATTTCTCTTTCCTAAACAATATACACCAAGATTTCTCTAAAATCCTAACTGATTTTAAAACTGATTTTCATATTAAATATCTGATATATTTAGGTCTCATAATTCAATGTAATGTATTAATCTATAGCTTCCTACTTGCTTCTATTAATCTCTACCACCCCAATGTCACGAATCTCATTATCCATATTTGCTTAATTCATAGATATGACGGCAGGGTTATTCCTCGGGATATTAAGGCCACAATTGCTGAGGCCATGACAAGGTGAGGAAGGACAGTGTTGGCTATATACCTAGACAGGCCAGAATTTGCTGATTGGGCGGTCCCTAAACGGATTTGTTGACTGGATCAACTGCCCTCCAACCGAGCTGAAATGGCTTGTGTAATCACGTTTTGATTGTTAAATGAGTTTCAACCTTCCATCCAAAAAACGAAGAAAACAAGAAAAAACCTCAATATAAAGACTCATCATAATCATCAATTACTCTTTACCTCCCATGTTGAAGACAGTTTTAGAAACAACCGTGGTTGCTGGAACAGCTTGAACACGAAGAATTTAAAACAGATTCTTTAAACAGAGGACAGACATCAAGGTTACATAAAGGTTAGAAACAACTGACCATTGAGTAAAGCTATATATTTACATATAAACTATTGGTGACTGGTACCTGAAAAGATGAGTCCCTTGTGTCGCCATTTTGATGGAAACCCAGAAACTTGTGCACTCTAGCCCTTTAGCCTCACATAAAGGACTTGTGGAATAAGATCCAGTTGGAAAAAGATAACCAATTAGAGATAAGCTTCACGCAGGAATAGTAATGCTTTGAAAAACACGGGATTCGTTAAGTGAGAGATGCTGACTGAATAGTTAAAGATGCCGCAAGCAAAGATCATATAGCCTAATTGACTGCAAGTTAGGCTATGACCCTCTCTCAAGTGACCAGCATATTGGCAAGCCTAAGCTGCTTCTCCAAAGGCAAATACTCTTTTAAACATGTACAGGTATGATACATCACATGCAATAGAAAGGAGGCAATATCCTTTTCACTTCCGTCAATAGGTTGTGTGCTATTTGTATTGTCAGGGGGTCCTTTGTCAGTAACCAAGTAGTATATGCGTTCGGTTGATGTCCAAAGGGTAGAAACAATGGATTCCGCGACAACTTCCCAACTAGGTTCGGTCACAAGGGAAGGGAGGGTAACTGGTAGATCACTCAACACGGATAACTGGTCCAAAGTCAGAAGAGACCCATATTTGCAACAGCTACCAGATAGCAGAGCGAGAAACTTTAAGGCCTGCAGAAGAAATGTAAAGACCTTTTATTCAAAAGCATTATCACAATGAAGAATTAAAAACAAAAACAAAAGGACTTTAAAGGTGAGAAATAATACAGGTTCCTTTACCCCTTATGATTCAGATGACACAATGGCAGAAAACAACGCATGGGAATCACTAATTTCTACACAAATGTATTTTGAAAGGGTTCGAATTAAAGAGAGCTGAACTTCTTAAAAACATGTACACAAGAATGGAAGTGGAAGTGGAAGCGGAAGCGGGAGCATATCATATCAACTGCCAATGAGGGATGGATTTTTCTAAGCTGCATTTACATACAAGTAACATTAGCGAGACTACTTGCACAGATCAACTATACCACCACCACCCTCCCCTGCCCTGACTGCAGGTAAACAAAGTATCCTCCTAAATACATACAGGGTTACTATTCCATATTTTGCTTAGACTATAGCTACCATGCCGGTGCCTTGTGTTGGGAAATCAGAACCAGTAACCTATGCATTTTGATTGTGTAAAAAAAAGCTTACTATGGAAGGATAGCTCGAGACACAACTAATCTCCGCTGCATCAATAAGCCACTGTCTTTTGACACTTCCATCTGCATGTTGCAAAGCTGCTACCACTTCAGCATGCAAATTCCAAATATCTGTATTGTTGAAAAGAGGTGCATTAAACCAACTCTAAGCAAGAAATTCCACAGCAAGAACCACCAAAACATGCAGCAAACTGAATCCAATTTGGAAGCATGGAAACAACATTAGCAATATTTATAATTAGACTGGCTCCAAGTTATTCAACTACCATGCTCTTTCCAAGTAAAGTAACTAACCCTTTGATTTAGAGTTCAGCATATAAGCTTTTAATCTTCCAAGCTCGGTTAATGGGATGGAACCCATCCTAACTAGCTTCACTTTCGCTAGAATCTTCTTTAGGACTTCATTTGACAGGCTACCTCCTTGCACAAGATCCCCTAATGGAACCTGCAAAGCAAACATTGCAACATAATTTTCTGAGAATAGAACATAATGGAAATTCAAATGCTCCTACATAAACTCTACAAGACTAAATAATGTTTTGAACCATTTTGGGTTCAGCTCAGTATTTACAAACCAATTAAGTTGTTGAATATACATGAAAGAGTTCCAAAGAGTACTCCCCATATTACTAAATATGATTCAGTAGAAACTTGATATTCTTCAAAAAAATTATCATTAGATATGATTCAAGTTCATAGCATATGAGCTAAATATCCACAAAGCAGAAACAAAGACGAGAAGTTTCTGAAAAGAAATGCTCCAAAGAGAGATGATTGACCGTGTTTACCTGCAGGAAATCCAATAACCAATCCCCTTGAGCCTTTGCCAAGCATTGAACTGCCACACGCCATTCCTCTGCAGCATTTGGCAGATCCACTCCTGTGAAGGCAGCAGATTCTGATGCAGGCAACAAGTGAAACAGCACCTCTATGCACTTGTCAAGGTTTGATATGTACTCTACAGAGCTAAGGACAGCTTCTTCTAGACACTGATAGAGACCCACCCAGCATGAGATTCTCAATGAGCCCTTCTGATCAGGGCTATACCCTTGGTATAAAATATCTGAGCAAAAGTATTCAGCAATATCATCAAGCAGTTTCTCTAGCCTGGAACCTGAGAATACTTTTATCAGGCCTGCAAGATGAAAGAGCAGACATGACTGCAGATTCAGCTCTAGTGTCCTGAACCTCGTCAAATCAGATAGCTCATCAAGGAAAGTCAGGAGGGGATCTAATTGATTTGCATGAGCTATTGAGAATTGTACACATTCCTCCCTAAGGGCTCCCCTCTTAAGAGCTGAATCTGGCAACAACACCTCAGACACTTGAGCCTCATATCTCATGCAGCGTCTAATGATCAATCCCCAATCCACTGTTGGCAATCTAGGAGCTCGGGAAAGGCATCTTAAAACTGTTACAACAGTGCCCACATGTGCAATAGCCCCTGCCTGAAAATTAGACAGCAAGAAATTTGAAAGAAGAATTCACAAAAAGCATCTCTCAATAAGAACAAAATAGCTGAAGAAAATAATATATGCAAGCAATAAGATAAGACTAACGAGTAGGTAGTGGAAGAAGGCAAAAACATTAATAAGTCTGCATGTATTTGCTTATGCTGGTGTTGCAAATCTACAATGTGATAGCAGAGATTTGCCAGCACCTGATGCATAAACTAGAATAGATAGAACCCAAAGTTATAAGCAGACAAAAGTTGATTGTTCTATCTCCATTCCAAAGTTTAAAATGTCTCCACACATGCACAAAGAACTAGAGTCCATCTACTTCTTATGCCAAAACTTCAATTATTCTACAATCTTTCAGCATAAACAGGGAGAAGCAGAAGCATGCGTGATAGTTCATAGTTCTTTCTGAAAATAAACTAGAAAACATTCATTGCCTTAGCCTAAAGCCAAACAAGGATAGAGAAAAAGAGAGAGGAGAGATGAGGGGGGAAATCAAGAAATAGTGAGCTGGGAGGCTTTAATTTCAATAACATCCAAAGTGGTCTCCAAACATAATATTGTATTCTTTATACAAGGACACCAAAGAAATCCTAACATCCTTTTAAAATAACTATATGAAAACAAATACCTAATATCCAACTAATATTAATGCATTTTTTTCCAAATATAAAACAACAAAAAATCCTTAGGGGATCCTCCATCTTAGCTTGCATACCAGCACAACATACTAGTGCATCCACCAAGAAAACATGGGCCACTGTGGAAAACTTCCCTCTCCTTCATTCACCTTTATCCGTCCACATAGCAAGGTCAACTAGCTAAGTGCATTCCAATTTAATAAAATGTGAATAAGATATTTACTTGCACACATACATAAATACATTCGTGCACACAAGCAGACACATAATCTGAGAATTGGTTTTAGCATTCATCACCAACAGAGAAACACTACAAGAAACATGCTTATAGACACAACTTAAGGTATAAAAACACTACAAGAAACATGCTTATAGACACACCTTAAGGTATAAACTGTTAGAGAATTATATAAATTATATCTTGAAATCTCACTTAATAGCTTAAACTATTAGACTGAAATGATTCTTTGACATGATATCAAAGTATTGCTGACTAAGCAATCATGAGTTTGAATTTTACCACCTCATTTTATTTGATAAAAATTAATCACAAGATAGCATAAGCATGTGCAAGTTTCAAGCCCAAAAAGCTTTCACTTGAGAGGGTGTGTTAAATAATTATATCAATCATATCTTGAAACCTCATTTAATAGCTTAAGCTATTGGGTTGTAATAGTCCTTTGACATAAACATGATGTGTTCACACACACATACAGCATAAACCCCATGTTTATCACAGGCATGCATTCTCACTAAAAGAGCTATACATACATTCATGTTTAGCAAAAGAGAAGATAAAACAAATCACAGCTCATATTAGATAAAGATAGCCACAAAGGAATAAAATTACTACAATAAACATGTAACCTGGAACGTTTAGACAGAAACCTACCCCGGAGTTATTTAGATGCATTAACCATATAGTCAGCTTCATAACTAAACTGTCCTCAGGAAAATTGTGAGAATTTGTTTTGCTATCAACAACATCAGTCTGATCATTGCTTTCAGCATTTAGAAGTTCCTTTGACCACAAACCATTTCGAAGGAATGAAACTGCCCAAGCTGCATTTTGTTGCATTTTAAGATCATCAGAATTTTGCGCGATGAGAAATATCTCTTGCACCAATGTTGTCAAATGTGGCTCACAAAAAGGGTTTGAAAGTAAAGGGCCCAAAATATGAGAAGATTCCTGTTAACCAAAACAAAGAATGGTGTTGAAAACATAAACCCCTATTTTTGTGAGGGTAACTCTTCCAAAAACACAGAAATATAAGAAAGAACCTTTTGTTCACAAGCAGTCTTGATTGAGGCTGAGAAGTGATGGGCATGAACCAAAATCCCTGCACCAGCTCCCATTGCATTAACAACTCCAAGCATACCACCCAGATGGATGATAGGAGGGAAAGAACTACAGTAGCATTTTCTAAACATCTCCAGTAAACCTTTTACAAATTCAGCTTCAAGAGGGTGCACACCTTCATTCAAAATGCAAGCGATAAGATTTCCCGCACCAATGCATGATGCCAGCATCAAGCTCTGATGGAAAGTACCAGATTTTTTAACAGATAATAACTCAAAAATGAGCTCATGATAGCCCTTTAATAGTTGATCCAGCTCATTATCATTGATCATTTCCACTCTCCGGCAGAATGCCACAACACTGGGAAGTGCAAGACAGGATCCTACTGATAAAGCTTTCTCCCTTCCTTCACTTGAAAAAGATGAGTTTGTTACTAGAGAGTTTACATGTGGGATCCATGATATAATCAAGTCCTTTATCTTCAGCATAGCATCATGTGCCCCAGCTCTATATATTGCATTGAAAGAGATCCCCAAGCCAAGGACAATACCAGCAACACCCCAAGGATCTTCCTCCAAGTCATCACACCTCTCAAGCAACTGATCAGATGTCAAATTGATTTCCATATCATTAGCACCCATGCCGAAAAATGGAGAAAGACTTTCTAGAATATCATATGAAGCATTACTGAGCTGGCTTGTCATCAGAAGTAATGTCCTAAGAATCTTCCCTAATAAGTCAACCTCCTGTGCCTTGTACTTTTCTTTATCCAAATCAACATTATCAGCAGCTTCAAACCTGGTAAGAAGATCTTGGCATGCAAAGCCCAAGCCAAGCCCACAAGCTCCTTTGACAAGGATGCTTTTGCTGCCATGCAAAACCTGAAAGCATGCAATGTCTTATAACAAATGCCACATAACTTGTATAATCCTTTGCAAAAGAATCTAACTTCATCCCTTTCATAATAATTTTCAGAAGTATACTTCATTAATCCCTCTGTTAGTAACACCAAAAAAAAACCCTACGTATGCAAAAACACTCATTTTGAAAGCTTTTTCAAGATGGACTGGAATAAAATGTTCACAGTTCCAAACCACAGATCTTCATACCTTTATAAGTCCAGTGATATTCTCAAATTTCTGTTTGTGATCAGTTACATGAAGACAACTTGAAACCAATCCAAGAGATATTGCAGCTGACCATTGGCGATGATCATGCTCATTCTGGAACAACCAGTTTAGCAGAAACTTTGAAGCAGTTGATTTGACAGTATGGGTAGATGGAGCCAACACCTGACAGTAGCCAGCAAAACCAACCATTTAACTGACAAAGCATGTGAAACAAGAAGTTTAAATGTGAACGGTAGTGCATTTCTATTTAATAAAAAACCAAACCATTACTCAAAAATCAGAATGACTGGTTAAGAGGCCTTTAATAGAATAAGATGAAATAGCAGGATTGTGCCAGGACCTGAAACCAATTAACTGACCACCAAACTTTCACCCAGCCTCATAACTTGGTTAAGGGAAATTTGCAGTTCAGATGCCATGGATGGCATTTTCATTTTCCTTTTTTTTCAATATCACTGTCTATTTCCCACATTAATGCCGGCCTGGGCTGAGATTTGACTCCACAGTCTCTACATTCCATCTCATAAATATCATGGATATGCAAATAAAATTGATCTTATGGTTGGTACAATGATCCCAAGCACCGAACCAAGTATAGACATCAGTAAGTAGTTAGATTGTGAAATCTGGAGTGAGATTTATAGAGCAATATCTTACCACACAGAGTGCACCAATAGCCAGAGCAATATTTTCAGCAGAACTTGGGATAGACTCTTCAGCAAGTCGCATCACACGCTGCAAGAAAATAATGCAGTAGAAGAAATATTACACATGGCATGAATCTGTTTAAAATTGCTGCAGATAAAATATTATGGCACAAATGCTAGAAGAGGAAAAGGTGAACCTTCAGGATATCAGTAGCAGCTTTAGAAGTTTTATTTAATGAAACAGAAGGTGCTTTAGCATCAAGGGATGAAATATTTGCCCTTATCCAACGCCGCATGAAGGACTTCCAAGATTGCAATGAAAGAAGGGCAGTGAAAATGTTTCTTGATAATTGAAGAGAAGCAGCTATTTCCACCAGTGCACTCTCATATCCAGAATGGAAATCTACAGATACCTGGGAGAGAAAGTAACATAGATTTAAATATCATAGTAAATTCTCAAGAAAAGAACTCAACATATGATTTCTTACTCTTGACAAGCATTGTCTGTTCACATCTTTAGGGGTAAAGGAAAGGCATAACAGAGCTGCCCCAGGTAATTGCCCAGCACTACCTTTTATCCCTGCAAATTTATTGCTCATTTGATTTACTGTACAGATCACACATAAGAAATGAACAGACTCCAAGACAACTCGACATAAAATGAGGAGGTGGAGTAGATAACCTAGCATTCAATAGGCTAAACCATCATAGAAGGACAAGAAACTAGAGCTCTTGAAATCCAAACAAACAAACATAAAAAGACCTTTCAAGACTCCTTTTCATTCACCAAATGGCCCTCTCAAAGTTTACAACAAATGTAACACAAAGTCAGTCCTAAAGAGTCATAACCAAATTAAAAATAAAACCTTAATGAATAAAACTACATAATAATCCAGATAATAGCAAAAACAAAGACATTTCAAACCTTATAACTAGCACCTTCTCAGATATGACAAAATTACACCATTAGTGAAAGTTTAAAGTGACTAGGAAAACGCCCTTAATATTGTACCACCCTTGTCAGCTAGATGCCTGTATTTGTCAAACAATATTATCCATCTATGATGACTCTAATACTTCATTTTTCTATATTTTACTTTCTCTTTCCTTTTCCCACCCTTGTCTGCTAGATTCCTGTATTTGTCAAACACTATTATCCATTTATGATGAATCTAATACTTCATTTTTCTACCTCGTATATGGCTTCTCTACTAGAGCTTTTACATTGTATTATTCCTCTCATCTCATTTTTCCTTTTCACATTTCCGAAGTCCACTCAATATCTTTCAACTCTTTTTCCCACTTATTCTGCATCAGGACCTGTAACAAGGGCAGACAATTCTCGCACTCACTTGAGGTGTCATGATGCCATAAAATGCTTTGGACAGAGGGCGTTGAGGATTAGAGACAATAAACCAAAACTCACATGGAAAGCAGCATGATCTACATCAGAACCCAATTGCATATATAATACCTGAGGAGACGAGAACCTGTGGAAATACATTTAGCAACTTCTCAATCTTACTTCCAGCAACTTTTTTCTCCTTCACCAACCTTCGACGATTCCTGGAGCAAATACAACCAAAGTATCAAGGTTCAATATCTTATGGTTTTCAGCAAGTGAAAGAGAAAAGTGGATGAGTTCTTTACACATGTTCATGAGTTATGATCTTGACTTGAAATCCTTCCATAGCCGTGAGCACATCAAGATTCGTCTCACATAAAAGCAAATCCATGTTCACCCTCTTAAAATCTGGAATTCCTATTTGTATATGTGTAACCTAGTAAAGCATAAAGTCATTCAGAGAATCTGTTTTAACTGGAGCATATGATGTGAGGATGCAAGAAACCAAACATGGTTAGCAGCAAAATAGATGAGTACCGGGACTAACTATAGTACATTTTGTCAAAGTAAAATTATCAAGACAGAAGATTTTGAAAACAATAAAATTTTACAATGATTTTATATAACTTTCAATAATAAGCATCTCACACAATTTACCTCATATTGGCTCAGGGCCTCAAAGGCAAAGATCCTTGCCCTTGCCCACTCAAGTGCTTGATTGACATGTACAGCAGTTCCAATACCCCATAAAATTTGCAAGACATTCCTTGAAGCTTCTGAATATGCTTCAGCATCCATTGCACCCCATCTCAGAAGGAGGCATATGCTGTCAATGGCAAGAAGTCATTTGGTATATGTTAATATATCAATTGAAAGAAAGGATGAAAAAGTTACGGCTAAATGGCTTAGGTACAAAGATTTGACAGAAATATCAGGTGCAACTAAGAATGTTGTCCTCAAGGTAAATCAACAAAACTGATTATTGTTGCACTAAAGTTAATGAAAAAAAAGGAGCAATATAAATTTAAAAAAGGAGAACAAATGGGGAATGTTTTAGGGTGCAATTTTCCAAACAGGAAGAAAAATGTTAAGAAAGGCTCTTATTTGACCACTGGGTAATACTGCCTCCTGACCAGGGTAAAATGTCCCCCTTTTACAGAAGGATACGATACCTGGACAGCTAAAGGTAGGCAATCCTTTAGCAATCTAAAGTCACCTAGCCTCACCTTTCTTTTGGTATGATCTATATTGGTTATATAATCAGGATTGCCAAATGGAGGCACAAATTTAAATAGCAATCAAAACCAGCACACATTACCTTTGTGCAAGAACTGGGTCTGTGGTGTAGTCTACCGCATGCTTATCAATGACATCCCAGGCAGTATAAAAATCTAAAAAGAAAATTTATTCCACTGTAGTTAAGAACATAACATAATGATAACTAGTGCAATTTTAACTTATCATGAACATAATCGCTGGAAGACATACAATTGAAATATATGGGTAAGAAAACACACATTATCCTGCTGACAATAATTGAAGTATTTGTGGTTAAACTTAGCATTCAAATTTTCAGGCCGCATACAAGCATGGATTTAGCATTTTTCCAAAAAACACATATCATTCAAACTATGACTTAATAGAAATGCTCAAATATGTTCTGAAATAATAACTACCACTGAAGTCAAGGTAAGGATACTAATACAAAAATCTACAGCATTAATTTATGATCATAATAAATGAAATTGAGAATATCTGTCCAGTAAAAAATAGAAGAGGTGGGAAAAAAAAGAAGGGTGGATAAAAATCCATCTTATTAAGAGTTAAAACTTCGAGATAAAGAATCTCAGGGGTCGTTCCTAAACTTTCTGCAGAGGAGCTGCAGGTTCACTAAGCAAGCATAAGGCACCTCCATTCTGGCCAAAGCTGCAAAAACCTTGACATTAAATTCTAGCAATTACATGTCATCATTTATGATGGTCTTTAACATCAGATAACTAGAAATCAAAATGAGTACGCCATTACATGCTTGAACTTGCAAGACAAATTTGGATAAAAAACATAAAGAATGTTCTCAAGAAATATGATGCAATTTTTCAGACAAAACGGAAGAGGCAAAAGTAACATTTTCAAACCTAGAAATGTTTAAGATATAAATTGGAAAAGGAAAAGGATTGGATTTTAAAGCAGGAGGAGGATTACCAATTACATCAGCTTCACATAGATGTGCAAGGCTCTGAAATCCAAGAGCTTTAATAATATGATCTTGGCTCTCAATGCAAGCCTGTTAGTTTAGATGAATGAGACCCTATTAAATTGTGTAAACTCGAGACATTAGAAAATAGAGGAGCTATGGCTTCACACATACCGAAACAGATAAGATAAGATCCACCCCCCTATCAGGGTTCTTTCTGCAAATGTCCCGAATGGAGGCAGCCAAACTTATTAAGATGTTTCTCTCATGCTTGAATTCAGTGAGCCCCTTCGGAAGCAATATTGCCTAAAAGTCAACTAGCATGTTAGTATCAAAGCATAGTAATATTGCAATAGAATTTGAGAATGAAACAAACTCATGGACAGGAAAATCTGTTTAGCATGGATGAATGACTTCTGTTAATTTACCATAGAAAAGTAGATAATTTAGTTCGTACTTGGTACTTGTTTAGGGAGTCTAGACATTTGAGGTTATCATGATATATAGTATTAGTTATAAATTTTATTTTGTTATATTTCCTGTTTGAATAGCCTTTATTCATCTTCAGTATTGACAAAGGCTGGAGTGCCATTTCAGCCAGAATCTTTTCTTTATGGCAGCAATATTCACAATAATTGTTGTACAATGGCCATTCAGTTTTAGTGCCTGTGACTTTCATCAGTCATGAACATTCTAAACAGTCATCCACCCTTCTATACCTTCAGGACAAAAGGAGCAGATAAAATCCAAGAAATTGTGAGAAGGAGCTCTATGAAAGCTTTAGATCAAAAAATGCCTCCTGAAGTCTGTAACTACACTTAACAACATCCAAGAATCTTTAGACCAGGCAATCACTATACTTCAAGTTTGTATTAACAAGCTCAAAACAAAAGCAGTAGAAGAAACACTAGTTCCATCATTCCATGATTAGAAATAGCAGCAACTAAGAAACTAAGAATTGCAGAATAACAAAAAGTTCCAGTAGTAGATTTTGTACAGGCAGAATGTGGACAGTATGTTTGAAAGCTTTACTTCATTATTCAAGTAGACAGGATGTTCAAGAAATTAATTAATCATTCCAAAAAAAAAAAGCCTTGAATGGTGACGTTTAAGGCAAGTAAAAATGCATGTATCAAGGCCAGGAGTGCAACTTCAAGTTATAGAGAAAGCATAGAAAATGCAGATTCTTACCACAACACTTTGAAACACAAGGTTGAGTTTTTTCTAACAAAGGGAGAATGGTGTTGCAGTTTGAGTTTTCCCAAAATAACTAATCTTGGGAAAATTAGGGATTTTATTTTACTTCAAATGTTTCTCATTTAGTGAATCTACTTGTTTTATGTTATTGTAATAACTAATATTAACTATAACTTTTTTGGTTAGAAATTTTATTCCAATTCCCGTTTTCTTTTATGGTTCTATAGTTTAATTCTTTAACAAAAAGCATATCTTTCTTGGTTTAGGGTTTCTTGTTGAATTGATAATAAAATTAGAATTGTTCTCTGCCTACTGCCATTCTTCCAAGATTCATCTCCCCCTTTTTCTTCCTCCCTCTCTCTCCTTTCTTCCCTCCCCTCCTTCCAGAATCCTTTCTCAGGTCCTACATAATGAGGCCGAATGGCTATATTAATTTTGACACAAATAAATAGAAATTATCTTCTCTTTTTGAACAACATGCTAGTCCCACTTCATCCTCAACATTCTTTACACAAGCCTCCAAATGGAACAGAATTTGCATCTAATTGCACTACACGAACACATATTAAACAATCTTTACTGGGATCAAAAAAGAATTTTTCAAACTTTCTTCTATCAAATAGTTCTGCACATCTCAACTTTCATTGATTATTTCAAATTTTTGTTGTATGTTTGTTTCTGCTTTCCTAAACAACTAAAATGAATCGTTATTTGCAATTCAGCAGAGTGGAAGCAGAAGAATCTTACTTGCAAACTCCCAAAGGCACGGTCATTGATTGCCCAGGTCTGACAAAGCAAACGAGCGCCGGTGGCATACAACACACTGAATATGACACATAGGTTGCAGTTAAAAAAATACAGATATGGAGAAAGGACAACAGGGATTATGTAACAAGTTAAAAAAGTTTTAGAGGTCACCAGTAAATGATAAGACTTTAAAGGTTTAATTGCATATTTCATCCATGAACTATTAGAATTGGCAGTTTCAATCTTATGCTTCATTTGCATTTATTAGGTCCCTGAATTTGTCTTGGTGGATGCCATTCACCAAAGTCCAACTATAAACTATGAAAGTTGAAGACTGACTATTGACCATAACCAACAAGTTTCAGTTAGAGTCACATACAGATGGCATCTTGACTATAATGTCTTTCATATATCTGTTCAAATTCCAACTTTCTTGGAAAATCAACAGCTTTCCTAGGAATCAACTACACCCAAACCACCAAAGCCTATAAAAAAAACCATCATCCATGCCAGCACCAATGACTACACCAATGAGTTCATCAACATTGCTTGCCTCTAACTCAGCAAACACCTAAATTTGCAGTTGTGAAGCATAAATCAAGCTCAGGCCCATTCAGTTCTTGAACTTCAAAACCCATAATACATGTTTAGGATATAGTTTTTTTTTTTTTTCCTTCTCTCTTTTGGTAAAATCTTCAAAATTTTGTTTCTCATAGTTCTGTTACTATATTAGATTTGATATTCTGTTAAAAAAATAAGGGTTTTAATTTTCCTCTGATACTTCATCTTTAGCAGCCACAATGTGGATAGCTTAAGTTCTTTGCTTGAATTGCTGATAATTTCACATACAATTTCAGTTGCTTATTTGAGGATTTGGGTTGTTTTATTTTTTTTGCTGGTCTAGGATTCTACCATGAAAGGCTTTTATTGTAAACAGGTGGGGTTGGAAATTTGAGGAAGATAGAATCACACTATTGTCTGCTTTGTATGATTTGGATAGAGCATTCATATGGGCTTAGAGAACATTTTTGTCCATTTGTTGAGCACAAATGCTTATCAACACTTTGTCCATTTTTTTTACTTTTAAAGAGGGATCACAAGTTTGCCATGTGGTCTCTGTCAACTTCATGCACCTGGTAATTCAGTCAGCCAAACTGAACGGCTTATTAACTAATAATTAATGTTGACAGATCAACATTTCTAGTGACAGAGTTTTGGCTCAGTAACAAAACAAGGGGAACAAAATGAGTTTAGACACTTGCAGCCCATCATAAAAGTATAAGAATGAAACATCCCCAAATGGAAAGTTGGAAGATGAAATATGTGTTTAAGCATTCTATATGTGGTTCTCATTATATCAATGACAACAACTTCACTATTCATACAGCCATTCATGCTGAGTGCCCATGAAATCTGTTAAGCTGTCTAGAGACATGATTACTCACTATTACCCACTGAATGAGCACAACAAATGGTGTCTAGGACAGTTAGAATTGGATGATTGAGCCAACTAAACAGTAGTAAGACAAACAATTTTCAATAGAGTCAGACACTGACTCAACTACCAGATTTAGGCACATAGCATAGGTTGGAATTTAAAATGCATCAAGTGCAATTCAGAGGAATGAAAATAGTTCAAGACCATTGGTATTTAAAAGTACTGAAAGAAAATTATTAGACAGACAATAAAAGAAACCACTTGCTATGCAAAGTCCTGACCTAATAGATCCTATTACGACTCTTCAAATAGCCAAAAGAGCCAACTGAGCCGAAAAATAGAACCCCATAATTGGTCAGGCAAGCCATCAGGTACCAAATGGTTAGTTATCTGGGAAAACTCATCAGGTTTTTCTCATACCCACTGCCTTGTATAGGTGTAGAAAATTTGGAGCATGCAATTATACCGAACTTATTGTATGTGTAATCCAATTTAAGCACTTGGTGAAAATTTTAATTATAAAGTCAGTTTAATTATCAGGTCATCTTATGATGGTGGTTGCTCATCACAAGTGTCCATGGTCACATTATTTGCAAAATCAGTCAACCATAAGAGAAGCAATACATGTTTCGGAAAGGAAAACAAGCCTATTAGAACTGTTAGAACATATTAAAACCAAATCAGTGGGCTAATGTGAACCACACTAAAATGACAATTCAAGCTGGCATGTCCTATATATCCGAGGACAAATATGGACATGGCTATTGTTTCTACCCTTTCTCACTATCCTGTTCCACCTGAGAAAAAATGTTATAATTGTCCATAGCATGTATCTCCCATCCCTTCATGGCATAGCTATGATCACCACAATACACAATATCACCAGGACAGCTCACTGAAATTCTTCAAAAACATAAAACGCACTAAACAAGGAAGGATAAGAGAAAAGACAAACATCATGAGTTGTAGAGAACATACGGTTTTCCATCTTTCTGAAGCATTGGCAAGATTGTCTGAATTATGAGGGGGATCATCACAGAATGTGAAGCAAGTGATGGAAGTAATGCCAGAAGTTTTGGCTGAAAGTATCAAAAATCGTACTGTGAAAGACATCAAAGGGAGAGCTGGATACACTTTTGTATCAACTAAAATTAGACGTGAAGCAAGGTAAGAAAAGAAAACTCACCAATATATACTGGTAACTAATGTCTTTACTGGTGAAGATGTTACTGTAAAATAGAATTGCTAGCAGCAGTGGCACTCCCTGTTTGGGGTCCACAATGCCAATAGCACCCAGCAAATCAATTGCCATATCTCCAAATGATCGGTGCATCACCAAAACACCAGTAATCGCACCAAGTAAAGGGGGCAGTTCTGCAAGATAATAAAGTGGGTATAAAGTGAACATGATTTTAAAGCACAACAACTTTAAAGCAATTTTTCTGAAACAATAGGATACCAAGAAGAATGAACCAAACATAATTCATTGGTGTTATTCTATCTTACCCCTTGTGAAACATTCTTGAGACTGAGAAACAGATAGGGAGGATTTTCTTCTGTCTACAATCGACAAAATGTATTCTCTTAACTGAGAAGCCCAATGTCTCGGTTTCTGGTGCATTACTTTGACATCAGTTTTGCCACTGGAAGCAAAATTCAGGAAGGAAGTGGGCAGTAAAAACTGGTCCTGGAAAACAGAACAGACAGAATCTTACAAGATCTCAATCATCATATGCCAGTCAAAATAGCACATTTCCAACAACTTGACACACTAAGCCTTGATTTCAACTAAATGGACCACAGGAATACTATTGCACCATTCTACTTTATCTGATGCAAAAATGGCACTTCTAGAGTCCCAACATTACTGCCTTATCCTCTTCCTCTCCTACATAAAGCATAATGGCATCTTAAATGAGCTTGTTAATAGGACTATCATATTTCTCTCATTTGAGAACAAAAATGTGAAATGGAACCCAACAATGAACAATATTGTCTTTCCTTTTCTTTTCCAGGTTAGGGGTGAGAATAACAAATGAAAAACACAAACCATATCCCAATACTTACAATTGTAACAAGTATTAAACAAACAAAAAATTCCCCACTCTTAACACAATAATCAGAGTAACATTGAACCTGAAACCACAAGCATCGCAAAAGCCTATAAGCAATGGATCCTAGAGAGCTGATAGGGGGAAATCCCCCTTCTGTGGCTAGTCCAGCCTTTGGTGCTTTTGACAGTTCTACTAGGACCTTTTCCAGCGTCACAAGCAATTCTGCTGCTTCCCCCTTAATAGATCTAGATGTAGATGATAATAGGTTGATGACAGGAAATGTGAACAAAAGCTCTTCGCTCATAGCACATTTGACTCTATCGACCTCATATTCTGAAAAATAAATAAATAAGTAAACTTATATTGCAAGAAGGTTAACAGTGGATGAAAAAAAGGCAACTATACACAATGATAAGAACATTAAAGCAGAATCAAGTGCCTGAAAAAGGCTTGGAAGTGAGATTAAGACAATGTCAAACAGTGAGTTTTCATTTTCTAACTAATAATTGCTGTTGTAACCCATTTTTGGGTCCCCACACAAAAAAAGGAAAAAATACAAAAAAATCAAAAATAAAATTAAAAAAATATAACAGTGAGAAACCAGTCATTCTTAATGATGCAAAACGCAAAATGCAAAGGAAGCATTGCACAAAACAAGGATGCAAACTAACTGGAGATGAAAGGAGAAACTATGCCTAGCATAAAACTTTTAATAGACAGATAACTCTAAGGCAACTTAAATGATCATATGGCATCCAAAAGTATTAAGAGAATACTATATTGTGTAACGTCATAAATACAGAATTTGCATCAGAACAATTTCCAATTAACCAAGAAGCTTGCACAAGAAGATTACGATTTAACTAATGGGCTTGTAATAGATAGACAATCATTAATTCATGCCAGCAAAATGAGAGTCAGGAAACATACCCTTTTCACTCTTCCATTTTAAAAGGAAGTTCAGGAGTTTCAATAAAGAGAGCTGTTCGTATTCAAGATCAGATTGAATCAGGACAACAAATAAGGATAGCAGTTTTGATGATATTTCAGGCATATATTGCAAAGAAAGATTTTTCTGGGCAATAAACAGCCGCTTCACTAGTTCAATAATTGGTTCACTACTACCAGCATGCCCATGATGACACGTCAATAATGAAAGAATAGCATCTGACAGTTCCACACCAAACAGTTGAGCCTCAGTAACCAGCTGTGAACGTGGAGAAGATAACAATTAACAGCAAGTTATGGCAGACAAGCTCCACGCAAAATTATAATAGTTCCATGTCCAAAAAAAAACTTCCATAAAATCAGCAAGTTAAGACAGACAAGCTCCACGCAAAATTATAATAGTTCCATGTCCCAAAAAAAAACTTCCATAAAGCACAAATGAGACAACAGATTGTGCTGATGCTGCATTGAGAAGCATACCAGTCCAGTTCCAACCAAGTGTCTCAAAACGACCGTATATGCATCAACTATGGATTCCAGAAAATAATATGAGTTCTTAAGCTCCTGTACATCATCAAGAAATTCGAATTAATAGCTATGAGCTTGCATTGAAGTATGAACCAGTTAAATTTATTATCTATGCTCCAGTTAAATCAATCAGTTAAGCAACGTGAGAGTATAGCTCCATCTGAATAAAAGAAAAGGTAAAAGAAACAATTACTAAGCAAGCATACTGACATCTGAATTCTTATGTGACGCATGCTTAAGGCAACCTATCAGTAGCTTTAAAACCGGAATCGCCTCATCAGGGAAAGAACAACAAAACGAAGCCATTGATGATATCAACTGCCTTGCAAACAAAGATGACGAAGAATTCGAAAAGGGCACTCGTAGAATCGAAAAATTCAAAAAGGGTCTCAAGAATTCACAAATTTCCACCATTCCCAATCTTCTATCCTGTCCGAGAAATAGTAAGACTTGCTGAACCAATTCAGACTGAACCTCAGTTCTTGATGACAAAATCTGCAATCCATAACTCAATATTATTGAATTTACACTTTAATCAAACACAATAAACCTCAAATTAGCCACAAAAAAAATTAATAATAATAATAATAGTCCATTAAAATGTGATCCTCGAAATTAGGAACTTATAAAATCCAATTAAGTTAACAAACCATAACAAAGGGGTGATTCTCAATAGAAGGAAAATGCCACGACCCATGATTCCTTTGAAACCCGACCCGAACGACAAATCCAAGAGCTTTAACAAATAAACCAACAAATTTTGGGTCGGACCCTTCGAGTGCAGACTGGAGCTCCAGCAAAGTTCGGGAGAGGTCCAATCTGGAGTCCAATAGGAGGCGACAGAGCTCGCGTACAGACTGGTCGACGACGGGTGGAGAAGCGGAACGGAGGCATTGAGAGATAGCTTCTCTACCAGGTTCGGAATCCGGGTCGAGGTAACTCGGCGCGGATCGTAACTTCGAGAAGATTGTAATCACCGCGAATTTTTGGAGCGAGGGTTGTGGAACCCGTGTTTTCTGGAGTAAAGGAGTGTAAGAGTCCATTTGTGCAGTGAGAGAGCGCGATTGAGAGAGTTAAAACGGAGGAAATGCTATGACAGAAACGACGGAGGCTTCCGCGTTTCGTTCAGGGTCCTAGTGACGTCGTTTTCATCTTGAACCCGTAGTTAAAAAAATTCCTTCGTTCTCAGATTTATACACCTTAAAATTAGCCTTGGTAGAATTTATTAAATTCATGTGAATACATAAGAGGAGGTTGCAGGAGGTATGTTTTTAAAATCTTCCAGAATAGAATTTAATCTTAATTATACGTATCATTTAATTCAAGAATATTTGTAATATCAAATAAGAAAACTAAAACTAGTTATTAATCTTCACATGTCATGCCGTCATTATAATTTTACACAATGATAAATTTGGTTTCAAGATTAAAAATTAGAGGTTAATTGCTAAGAGATGAAATGGTAAGAGGTTAATTATTAATAAATAAAGTATTAAGCATGTAAAAAAAATGGTAGATAGATGAAGCAATAGTGAGTTCTTGCGATATAAAAATATTTTTGAAAAAAATTAAATTTTATTTTTTAAAAATTAATACCTTAATATTTTTAGATTAATATGTTTATATTAAAAATAAATTTTAAAAAAATATTATTTTAATACATTTTCAAATAATAAATACTTTAAAAAACAATAACTACTATATAATATCAAATGGATTTGAAGTGTTGTAAAATTGTATAATGATAAGATTCATTAGATTTTAAATCAAATTTTAATTTAAATATAATTTAAATTATTAATTCATGTTACTAGAAACTAATTTTGTGTAAGAAAGAGAGAATGAATGATAGTTTAAAAGAAAAAAATAAATTAACTTTTTAGATAGTGATTGTCTTGAGATAGAAAAAATGAAGATAGCGAAAGCAAAAATGTGATTGGTTAAAGAAACATATACATAAAATAAATATATTTTTAAATAATTTTAGAGTGAATTTATGTTAGACAAGTTTCTAAAGATAATGTTTTTATTTTTTATTTCTAAAATATCCTTATAAAAAACTCTTAATTCCAAAATTATTCAACTAAGACATGTAAGGATAAAACTAGTTATTATCATAATTTTAAAACTTAACTCGAGAGTCAATCATAGACAAAGCTCAAGTCATCAGTCGAGGCCCAGATCATAGGTCAGGTTGAACCAAATCAGCGTAAAAATAAAAGTGTTTATTATTATAATTTTAAAACCTAATTTTAGGATCAACCAGGAATAAGGATTGGGTCACAAGTCAAAAGAGTTAACCCTTATTGACTCGGTCAACATAAAAATAAAAGTGGAAAGATTGTTGACATTTAGAGTCACGTTGATTAGTACTTAAAAGTGCATTTTTATCAAGGTTTTATTTCATCATTTTGCACTCGAAGTATCAATAACTCCTTAA